ACAAGATCTACCTGCAACTTTTTTCAACTCCATTTGATGTGAAAGTGGAAGATGCCCCTCCAGATGTCCAACTTGAGTTGATAGACACCCAGTGCAGTGATGAATTAAAATCACAGTTCAAAAATTCTAATCTCCTCACATTCTACAAAGAACTGCCAGATACATCATTTCCAAAACTGAAAGACAATGCTCGATTTTGGGCAAGCATGTTTGGCAGTACCTATGTATGCGAACAAGCATACATAGGTACTGCCAAACAAGCTTGCAAGTTTTCGCTTATGAATTTAAACAAGTGCAAAACACGGAACAGGTTAACCAACGAGAATTTGGAAAATCTGCAGCTGGTTGTTTCAACATCTGCCATTACACCAGACATAAAGAAGATTGCCGCCAGCATCCAAATCTCAGCCATCGCATTAATCGCTTGGAGGTCCAGCCCCCAGTCAGTAAACTTAATCCTAATTTGGCCCTTCTTCACAAAAGGTTGTGCATCCCTGATTATGATAATGATAAATATTAATCAGATGCAACATAAGATGTCTAATGTCTTGATGTAAATAAATATTATACAATTTTGTTTACGACATGAGAGATTAGGTCATTTAAAAGCAGAACAGAATTATTAGTTATTTATCACATTATCATACGTTATTGTATGTTGATTTTAATCCATATTTAGAATGGAGTGAAGTTTTAATATTTCTGTTAATGATGTCTCTAAAGTTCAGTGAATTCTTCGCAAAAAGAATAAGTTATCAGGAACACACCGGAGATGAGTAGTCACAATAACAGAAATAGCACCGACAAATGTCACGTGACACGCTTCGTATGCATCAGCCATGATGCTCCGCGACGAAAACAAGCTTAAGAAATGGCGTCTTCGAATGGGTACACTCGATAAGTATTCCAACAATTTTTTGTTTATAGCATATTTTATATCGATCATTTCCAACAAATTATACGTGTTTTGGAAATATTCGAGCGAAATTAGTCTAGATTTGATTAATTTTATGGAAGAAAACCTCTCAAATAGCCATACCCCCTAATCAACACAACTGCCTTAAAATTTTTATTTCTTAAGAGACAAATTGACATTACAATCTGTAAAAATGTTACAAAACAAAAATCATAACTTCATCAAAATCACATGCTTCATTTGAACATGTGCTTTCCTTGCCACGTGATCTATAATTAAGTACTCTGCATTTTCGAACATTTTACAATTTCATTGGTTAAAATTCTATACCATGTTGCACAAGCGCAGATAACCTGAACATGTATAATCAACCTAGTAGAATCATATCATCATCAACAAAGACAAGATCTTTAAAAGTGACTAGAATTGTCACTGTCTCTGAAAGACTAATTTTCTCGTTTTGACGTCATTTGTCCTAGAAAGAAGAGATGAGAGATAACTGACCAGAATACAGCCCCTGGACAATCAGGAACCTTTTTATGCCAATTCTTAGCAGTCGAATCCACTCTACATCAATTACAGTTATGAGTTTCTCCAAATTCTAATTTCCAAATCATGTTTTCACATGGGAATGGATTAAAACTTATATTGGGCTCCTGTGTGATTTTGGAATTTCAATATGTAATTTAATCTAAAAGCTTTGCTTTTCCTATTGCTATTCATCTTTACTGCTGATAATACACAAGAATGATTCAAACCCAGATAGAACAGTTTTATTTTTAACACCAGAGGGCAAGTATCCGGTGAAAAATGTGAATACTTCCTAGCTTAAAGGACAAGGACATTTTAAATGAAACAAAGAGAATCTAGCATTCACATGAAGATTGAGACTTTCAAAATATTTCACATGCATGTAAGATGACATGGCAGAAGTTTTAATTTTAGATAATTTGTACTTATATATTCATATTCAGTTTCATTACGTAACAGTACTACTAACAGATAATCAAATACATAATTATACCAAGGAATTAACTGCTTAAAATAAGATCCACAATTTTATAATCTTTCTCTTTGTACGTTTATATTATTTAAAATGTATGATCAACAGTAAGTAATCTGAATAATGGATTCACATCATCCAAAGCTACTACAAATCTAAACACAAAATTCATATAGACAAGACTAAAACCAATATATTTTTACATTAAGAAATGTTTTTCTATTTATTTGTTCCTCAACATAAAGACAAATGAAAAATATTTTCAACTACATTGTCGAATTTCAATCTAAATCGCAGATGGTGCACACACCGGCTTAAAGCTTTACTTAATAATATAATTATAAAAAAAATATCATCTTATATAAACAAAAGATACAAATCGATGCCGTAATTATATTTTTAAAAATACATTTTACCATTATATTTACAGATTAAATCCGATTTACAAAACTTACCATGATGTCTTTATGTTGCTTTCTCAACGAGCACCACCAAGCAACAATTTACACGAAAAGTGTTGCCGGTTGGGCAACATCATTAATTCGAGAATATTCGTTAATTTCAAAACATAATTATTATAAACGTAACATAACTATTTATTTATAAGAATATACATAATTAAATAAATAAAGTCAGTTTTTAAAGAATATATAATAATATATACAGTATTTAACTNATTTATTTTGTTTGTACAAAATAAAAAAATAATTTTTAACGATACAATAGTCTTCGTTAGGCTTAACATCGACAAAACTTCAACGCAAATCGACACACAACAGAGAGAAATTTCAACATGGGATAAATTAATATATTTTTTCGTACATGATTCGTTATCCGAAAAATAAGTTATCCAAACCACCCCAGTCCCCAACTGATTCGGATAAACAACGCTCTACTGTACTCTGCACAATTATACTCTATAGCAGCTATGATATATGCACATGCACAAATAATATATACATAAATTGATACTCAAATTATAATTTGTTTTAATTTCAAATCTCATTACCATTATTATCAACTATAAGCTTATCCATTCCTCTAGGACCAAGAGTAGTCCTCACAGCTTCAGCAACAGCTTGACAGGCATTGATGTTGCTGACCAACTGAGATTTGCCTTGAAGGTTTTCAGTCCCTTCTTTCAGGAAAATAATTGGAGCTTGCTATTAAAAAATAATTAATAAATTTTAGAATTGATCACTTTCCACATTTACATAAATATATTAAATATTACGGTAAAAATAAAGTAATTGTTATCACAAAATTCAGAATATGGCCACTTTTTACTTATGTTCAAATTGAATGAATTCCATCTTTTACATTTTAATTTGTCAAGGAAAATTTTCTACCAGTAATAGAAATTCAGTTTAAATTGTATCATACAATTTCATGGAATCTGTATAGATTTCAAGTAAATGATTTAAATACAAAGTCTGGAAGAGAAGTATGACATTTTTAGGATAACTTATTATTCTCTAAAGCTGGAACTGCTGTACAACTTGATAATAAACCAACCTTTCATTACATTTCCAGCAATGATGTTGATATAAACAAAAAGCAAAAGCTTTTGCCCTTGTTCAGCAGCTGGCATCAGGCTCTTATAGAAGATTTTTAGTAGAACTTATGAACTGGGAAGATTTTTGAAAAAACATCATTCTGAAACAAGCTCTATTTAAACCAGTGTTTCTCAGCAGGAGCAATATTGCCCCCATGTGGGCATTTTTCCGTGTTGAGGGTGCGATTAGTAACAATTTACATTTTGAGGGAGCAAAAAACAATTTTCTGGGCGATATAGTAAAACATTAATTAAGAATAATTAGATATTTTATTCATTATATTGTACAATAATTAAACAAACAACATTATACTAGTTACTACTCTATTCAATGCAGTACGAATTTGGCGTTAGCCCTGGCCCTGGGCATCCGAATTTTGAAGTGAAGGGGATGTTTCTATGTAACGATTTTATTGAAGGGGCGACGATTCTTTAGAGGTTGAGAAACACTGCTTTTAACCAATTCAATTTTTTCACTACATCATCAATCAATTTCATTAACGTCCAAAAAATTAACACCACACAATATCACAGAAAAAACAAATCATGGCTCACAATTATAAAACATTGTCAAATGTACAACTGTTTGCATATCTATGTTCTAAGACAGGGATGGCAAACCTTTTTGAATCTGCATGCCACATACTAAGCATATTAAGCATACTTTTCTTTTAAAATGTTTATGCGTGCAGAAGCTTTAGACTTCGAGTAACTATATTTAAATTTGGCCGAATGGGCAAGTGCTCAAAGTGGTAGCTTCTCGCTCTTGTGGACACGAAATCAAAACCCCAGAAAATTTTCAGATGGTGATCCATTCTTCACCATCCGGCTATCCCATTGTGGGCTTGCTAAATAAAAAAGCCCTCTTAGTACCCACAGGGCAAAAAGAGTTTTAAAAAACTATATTTAAATAAATAAAATATGCTGTAATTAGAGTTAATGTAAAGAACCTGATTGAAAAAGATGATAAACCGAAATCATATAATTTGTTACATGCCAGATGATTTCTTCGACGTGCCACTTTGGGCATGCGTGCCATAGGTTCGCCACCTCTGTTCTAGGACATATACATGCATAATAATAATAATGAACAATTATTTATTGTGACATCGTCACAATGCTAGGCTGCAACTTTTAATCATATTTCTAGTTTATTTAATTTAAAATATATTCAAATATTTTATATTCCATCAGAATGCATTTTAAAATATATTCTTTCCACCTCAAATTAGTAGTGGCTTGCTCCTGTACATACTTTTCCTTTAACGATAGGCTCATGCCAGACATCTAACACCTTTCAGGGGAAAACTTTTTAATTGAAATAATGTGAACTTCCAGTTCCCACTGGAAGTTCATATATAGTTGATCAGGACTTTTGGCCCCCATGGTTTCCATATCTGGTCTCATCTTTCATGTATCTAACTCTGTTCTCAAGATTAAGGAAAGACAGATGGATGGACAACAGTGGAAATTTATAGGTCTACAATTTTTCAAATTGCAACCTAATAAATTTCCTACATTCCATGAGCCATGCAACTGGAGCATTAAAAAAAATTATATTTTTTCTCTATGACAAAACAGGGAGTCAAAACCACAATTTTATTGAATATATAATAGCCCTACTGTTTTATTGCTCATTTGGATATAGCATGCTTCTTTTTGTCTTCCAAATAAAAAAGTGCTTTAGCCAAAAACATAAAAATATCAGTTGCCACTGAATTTCTATTGGCAAAGAAATATTACTTATTCCAATTACTGACCTTGAAACTACCATTGTATAAAATAATCTCATAAAATAGCAAGTTGTCATGCAGATCAAAAAATATACAAACTGTTAGATTCATCAGTTAAGATATATTGCTCATTTGGTTTGTCTCCTAACATGTAGTACTAAAAATTTTCTACTAGGGCACCTGTTTTTTCATTATCCACATATCAGATCATAAAGAAGTTTAAAACTGTACTTTACTGTAGTTTAAAAAAAAAATTGCCAGACAAATTTAGATATACAAAAAATATATTTCTTGGTAGACTATACATACTGGATGAGTCTACTTCATTTGGTCCTTTCACACGCTGTTGAGGTAATAACAATTCCACGGTGGAGTCGACCTTTATTGTAGACTATTTGTCAGCAATTTTTTAAATGTATTTATTAATTTTATCATTGTGCCACTGCTAGAGGACTATTTTAACTTTTTTGCACTTGATGGTGGATGAGTAACCTACAATAAAAGGTTGACTCTTCCATGGAATTGTTATTACCTCAACAGCATGTGAAAGGACCAAATGAAATAAGACTCATCCAGTAAGTATAGTCTACCAAGAAACACATTTTTTTACTGTAGTTTGTTTAATAGAAATGAAATAGGCTATAATAGACCTTTTTTATAATACACTTTTGTATAGAACCTCACCAAATGATTGTTTAAATGTTCAGGCTATAATTCCTCTAATTCAAAGATTAATACAAAGTAATTTGCTACTAGTGGTAGGTGTTAGGTACCATCTATTAACTAAATTAATAATTATGATTACATAATTGGATTCATCCAATCTGATTTTTTTACTTAAAAGATGGTGACTAACATCTACCTCCAGTAGCAAATTACTTTGTATTAATCTTTAATTAATATTAAATTAGTGGAATTATAGCCCGAACATTTAGGAAATCATTTGGTGAAGTTTCTATATACATACTGAGCTTCACAATGTTTGCTATATTTATATTTTTGTATGCAATAAATAAAAATACTAACATTTATGAAGAACATTTGAATCTGAATTAAAAAATCATATTTACAATCATAAACCAAAAAATAATTTTTACTGTTTCCAAAATTTGGAATCCATACTCTAATCTCAAACATATTTAAGGTTTACTTTGATATAACTATTCATATTTTATTTAAAAAACTCACTACAAACACTATTATAATTTGTGAAATCATCTTTTTCATCAAATAATGAACCAATAAACACCTTATGAGAAAACACCAATAGTTACTTAATAAAAATTTTTTCCATATTCTTCCCAAAGAAATGAAAACAGGTAAACTATCTGGAGTTTATATGAGAGGTAAACTACCAGTTTTCCTTGAAGATGTTGATCTTCATACAAGGCTCCATCTAATTGAATGTAGATACTAACTGAATTTAATAAATTAAAGTTGACCATTTTCATCAATTGTAGTGCCACAATGAAATTGATAGCTCCATTTAATGAAAATTCCATGCTGATAATGTACTCATCCAATAATTTTATGTAGAAATTGATACTATACTGACCCTTTTGCATGTTTCCAGAATTTCAATATATACATAAAGCAAACATTTTCAGCCTGTTTCAGGGGCCAGTGTCAGGATTTTTGGCACTTGTGCAGTTTAGGGGATACAGCAATTTGAAAAGTTGTCTTCTATAAAATTAATCGATTCATTCTAGACTAATTTGATTCGAACATTTCCAAATGCCATTCCACAATGAAAACAAGCTTAAGCAAATCCACTACTTTCATTCTTAGGGGATTTACCAATGTAATAAAAGTGTTTTTCTCTGCAAAGTTGGTTTGCTTTTACCTTTTTTAATTTAACTTTAATTTTTATTTCATTATTGATGTAATGTTTTAGAATTTTGAAGTTATATACCCTCCGTAAGTCGGAAAAGAAAGAAAAATTGATTTTACCTGTATTTTTCTACAATACAATTAAATGTAAGAATTGGACAACAAAATATACAGTACTTTACTTTTATTTTGTGTAGTATTTCATTAATTTTTTTTTATGAATTAACAAAGTCTATATAATCCATTCGATTAAAAAAACAATTTTTAATGGAATGGATTTATAAATTTAATTAAATTCACTTATAAAACATAAGACTAATCAAACCTCATGTCTTTTTCTTCCAATATTCATATTAAATCAGAGACATAGTCTGATTTAATTCTTTTCTTTTTATGACTGACTTCTAAAATTGTGAAGGGTTGGTAAGGGGCCTTACACAGTTCAGCTTAGGGCTTCAAAATGCTTAAATCCAACAGTGTCCCACACAAAATTTCTGGCATTTTAAACTTTAAAAAATTATCTTTTAAAATTGGCAGCATAACTTGTTCATGTAAAGCAGGGGTCATATTCTGGTCATTGTCTCTCATCTCTCACAAGCTGGTCGCTGATTGGCTAATCATTTGTTTACTTCTCCAGAGATCATCACGCGATTCAGGACAACTTTTTCTCTCAAAGATTCTCATTTCTCAGAGATGAGCAGCAAAAGACAACCTTTTGTCTTTTGCCTCAATTTCATTATATACAATATGAACAACTGGATGCTACACACACTATACAATGGTATTAAAAAACATTCTCTATCTCAGGAAAGAATATTTTGAGAGAGAAAATGCTTCTGATTTTTTTCCAGTGCCTACTTGGAAGTGTCACTGATTCCATTTTTTCTTTTTTTTTAATTATCCTACATCAATTACTGAACTATTGAATATGATGTTAATCTTACTTAGATAGTTAAGGAGAAATTAGACGGTAAAATTTTGAAAAATATCTAAATACACACACTTTTCTAATTTAGGTTATTAAAATTGGCACTTGTGCTGATTAGGGGTACGGCTATTTGAGAGGTTTTCTTCCATAAAATTAATCAAATCTAGACTAATTTCACTCGAATATTTCCAAAACATGTATAATTTGTTGGAAATGATCGATATAAAATATGCTATAAACAAAAAATTGTTGGAATACTTATCGAGTGTACCCATTCGAAGATGCCATTGCTTAAGCTTGTTTTCGTCGCAGAGCGTCACATCGGACAGTGGACGCGTACAAAGCGTGTCACATTACATTTGTCAGTGCTATTTCGGTCATGTGACTACTCATCTCCAGTATGTTCCTGATAACTTATTCTTTTTGCAAATAATTCGCTGAACTTTAGAGACATCACATGATAGATCATAATATACTATAGATTTTTATTGTAATTAGAAACGACTTATTATTATTATTGACTATATGAAGCAACAAAGGAAAAACTGCTCGCTAACGACAATAATTCTATCATGATGTATATTATCAGGGGTACACAACCTGCGGCCCGCGGGCCACATACGGCCCCTTATCAATGTTTATGCGGTCCGCGGACGGTACAGGCCAAATCCCTTCTTTCGAAGTTTCAAGTGTAGAACTTTTCCCTTTCACAAAGTCATTAGCACCCAACTGTTTTATAACTCCCTGAAGTGAGAAATGGGGGGTTGTTCTATAAATAAGTCTATTTGTAGCTAACACTTTCTGGTTTAGATATCCAATATTCTAAGTCTAATACATAGTATTATAACGATTTTTCGAAGAATCAAATAGAATAAAATGATGTTAGAACGTCATTTCCGATGTTATTAGGAAGTTTCTATTTTGGCGGGAAATCTTCAATTTTATGCTTCGGAAAACTTGCTTATTCGTCTAAATAGCGTCAAATAACAAAAATAAGTGAAAATAGCGCTGAAAAAC